TTCTAGGGTTTCAGGATTATTGATTCTCTGTTTGGCTTAGTTTTTCGGATCTTTGTTGTGGAGGGACGGCGTGGTGTTTCTGCCTAGAGCGCCATCTTGCCAGAAGTCTAGATAGGATGAATTTTTAATGTTTATTAGCTATATTCTTTTCCTGTAAATTACCTGGTCAATTTACAATTTACAATTTTTCTATTTTTTCTTACTAATTTGTAGGGGCTCTTAATGTATTATGGATATTAACTTACTCTCATATTTGTTGCAACTTGTTTTTGGTCTTTTGACAATTTATGACTTCTTTCTTTCTGTCTTTCTTTCGGCATACTGGAGTTGACTTTAGAATGCATTTGAATAAGAACTGTAATAATGGGGGGAGGGTAAGGGGCATTTGACCTCCTCTGACTTCACCAGGGGGAAAGAGAATCAAGATCAATAGCCCAAGGCAGATTCTTATGAGGGAAGGTCAGACATGCCTCCACCCTCCAACCTTTTTACCAGTTCTGACACCAACTGTCCCTCTCTCATGGCACTCTGCTTCTTTGCTGGGTTCGATAATGTGTTGTAGTGGCCGCACAGAACTCACAGAAATAAAATTATGGGGTTTGTTAGGGAAGTAACAGGTTACATTTCAGGTTCAGGAATGCTCAGGGTACAGTTCTTCCATCAGGACAGCCTCTTCTCAGCTATGCCTGCCGACATGCCTCTCTCTGGCCCCTTGGCTTCTGCCCTGCTTGGGCAAGTGTTACAAAGCTCTTCTAGCTCTGCTGATAAGTGTCTGGAGGCACCCATTCACTAGTAAGCCTCAGCCCAGAGGTACTCAGCTCTCTTGCTTCAGGGGTTGGTGAGCCTAGCTCCACTGCTAAGTGCCCGAAGATACCCCACTCTGCCCAAAGCTGCTCAGCTCTCTCCCTCCATGGGTCGGCACACCTGCTGTGACTGCCTTGCTCCGTGGGCCAGGAAGCCCACCGCACCCTCTCCTGCTGGTCTCCTGGTTTGGCTGCCTCTGCTGCCACTGTTTCTCTGCTGCTGCTTCTCGCCATCACTTCCTGTCTCCGGTGTTATAGCTTTCTTTCTCTATGTCTCCTGGGTCTAGGAGTTCTCAGGAGTGCTCCTGAGGCCCAGTGGAGGCACTCTACCCCTAACTCTTCTTTCTTCGTGGTGGTAGGTCTGTGTGGTCTTCCCCCATCCCTGCTCTGGGATTGACTGCTCTTTTAAGCCTGGCAGAATGGCAAAACTAATCAATCTCCTCATTAGGGTTCCAGACACTTTATTTGCATGGTCCCACCCGCACAAGGGTGCCATACTCCTTATTTATGTTATTAGCGAGCTATCCAATCCCCTTTGTGGGCCACAAGTACCTCATTTTCATAACCCTCACCCAGTCATTTGGTGGAAGTTCTATGTCTAGAAGGGCCGTATTAAGTAATTTACTGCACCACAGGCCACTCCCTGGCTTTTCTAGCCATGCTTCTTTCATACGTGAAGGACTAACTTACCCCCTCCCAATCATTTTACCAGTCCAAAATAGTCATTAACAATTAGTCCTTCAGTACAGCAAAGAGTTCTCAGGGTGAAGTTACTCAGGTACCAGCCATTCAGGTCTGCTGCAGGTATCCATCCATCTGATCTGATCAGGTTCTGCAGAAGTTGTCTCGTCTTCACCCTTTCTGACCTCTGATAAAATTTAGCTGAGAGAAGATTATTCCCTTGCTCTGAGCCTCACAAGGTATCAGCATAGTAAAACCTGTAAGGGATTTTAGGTTTGGCCACTGCACTCCAGTTCAGCAGTGTCACTCCCTTAAGAACTTACCGTTAAGTGCTCCTCTCTAAGGTAACTTGAGATAACTCCTTTCTCTGGGTGGTGATGCTGCTCGTTTGATATATGGTTTTAATCTGCTTCAAATTGTTTTCAACTTTAGGATTAGCTACTCAAAAATTAATGCAATTGTCATGATTCAGAGATTAAAATTGTATAGCAGTCTTAGTTTTACTTCTGTCTCCTTCCACCCTCACTTCCCCTCCCCCATAGGTAAATGACTATTACTTGTTTTATCTTTTCAGTTTTTCCCTTTGCAGATACAAGAAAATCCTTACATACACACAAATGTTTTTCTTATTCTCCCCTCCTTCCTTACACAGCAGATAGCATACTAGATGCACTGCTCTGCCTCTTACGCTTTCCGTTTAACAATATATTTCGGAGATGTCTCCAATGTCAGTTTATAGAAATCTCTATTCTTGTTGTTACAACTACTGCTACTAATTAATTAAATATTCACAGCTACTTAAGGCTCCATTATGTGGATGTGCTACAGTTTATTCCATCTACCTCCTATTAACAGACCCTTGGGTCCTTTCCAGTCTTTTGTTATTATAGGTGCACCTGGAGGTACCTTGTACAGGTGCACTTGGAGGGTGGATCCCCGAAAGTGGGGTGGTGGGTCAAAGAATAAATACATCACATTGAGTTAGGGGGTGCCTAGTTCCCTTCTGTGGGGTTTGCTGTCTTGCTGACGATATATGGGAGCTTTCCCAAAAGAAAGTGTTGTAAAATTTTAGATTTTTTATCATCTGGTAGGTGAGATTAGTAGTTTTTGTAGTTTTTCTTGCATATTTTCTTACTTTGATTGAAATTGAGCACATTTTCATATTTTAAGGGCCTTTTTTTAAATTCTGTTAATTTTTTGTTTATGTATTTTGCCTCTTTCTCTGCTGGGTTTTACTCTATCTAGTAGCTCTTTTGATATTAAAGAGTTTAGCTCTTTGTGATACGAGTTGCATTTTCCCCAGTTTTTCACTTGGGTTTTTGTTTTGCTTACAATGTGTCTTGCCATGAGAAGGTTTAAGATTTTATGAAGTAGAGTATGTCAGTTTTTTCTTTCATGGCTTCTAAATTTGAGTCCTGGTTAGAAAGACCTTCCCCACCCGAAAAAAGAATTCACCTATGTTTTATTCAATTACTTGTTTTTTAAATTTAGATCTTTGATTGATTTGGAGTTTACCCTGAGGTATCTTTTTCCAAATGGTTTCCCAGTTATCTCACAACCATTTATTAGAAAGTCCATATTTAGCCAAAAGCAAACTCGTTGCTGTTAAGTTGATTCCAACTCATAGCAACCCTATAGGACAGAGTAGAACTGCCCCATAGGGTTTCCAAGGCTGTAAATCTTTACGAAAGTAGACCGCTACATCTTTCTTCCACATATTTAGCCAACTGGTTTTAAATTCCACCTTTTACAAATTTGCATATATATTTATATATATTTTTTAGTCTTTTACTGGATTTTCTCTTGCAATGGTTTGTGTATTTTTCAGCACCACACTCTTCATATTGAGGCCTTTTAGTATGGTCCGTCTTCATTGTTCTTCCTCAAAGTCACTGATCTTTCTGCTTTTGTTTATTGTGTGCTTTATAAGCAGTGCTTGCATTCAAAAGTCCAAAATTACTACTTATGGCTTATAAGGAGGATTATAAGGAGGTGCTGTTTAATCTTTCAAGTTGCTGTTGTCAGTTTGATCTCATATAGATAGTTCTTAAAAGAGTATAATGCTCAAGAGCTAAACTATTGTTTGGTTTTAAAATGACTTCAGGGGATATTTTTGGTTTAAGGTTTAAAGATTATCTCAGGGCAGTAGTTTTCCCCTCCCTCTCACCCCTGGTAACCACTAATAAACTTTGGTCTCTATAGGTTACCTTTTCCTTATCTTTATATCAGTGAGGTCATACAATATTTGTCCTTTCATGATTGGTTTATTTTGCTTAGCATGGTGTCTTCAAGCTCCATCCATACTGTAGTATATATTAAGATTTCATTTCTCCTGCTGGCTGAGTAGTATTCCATTGTATGTATGTAGCACATTTTGTTTATCCATTCATCTGTTGATGGGCATTTAGGTTGTTTCCACCTTTTGGCTATTGTGAATAGTGCTGCAGTGAACGTTGGTATACAAGCCTCTTTTTGAGTCTCTGCTTTCATGTCTTTTGAGTATATACCTAAGAGTGGAATTGCTGGGTCATATGATAGTTCTGTTTTTAGTTTTTTGACGAATCAAAAATTATTTTTAACGATCTACCATTAAATGATGACTTGATGTGGCCCTTCTTCAGTTTTTTGAAAGGAAGAATTGGAAACCCCCGGAC